TTTTTCCCCTTTTTTATTTCCCTTTTCAATTTCCTTTTTAATTTTCCCTTTTTTAATTTTCCCTTATTTTCCTTTTTTAAATTTTCCCTTTTTTTCCCTTATTTCCCTTTTTTAATTTTCTCTTTTTTAATTTTCCCTATTTTTATCTTTCCCTTTTTTTAATTTTCACTTTTTTATTTTCCCTTTTTTTACTTTTCCTTTTTAATTTTCCCTTTTCCCCCCTTTTTTAATTTTTTCTTTTTTATTTTCCCCTTTTTTTTTTACTTTTCCTATTTAATTTTCCCTCTTTTTTTTCCCTTTTTTTTTTTATTTTTCCTTTTTTTTTTTTTTTCCTCCTTTGTGTCTTTCCTTGGTCTTCTGAGCCTGTTTCTTTCTCCCAATGCATGCTCCTCCTCTTTTTTGCTTGCTGAAGCACTTTAGACTTATCAACTGTGTTATGCTCAGGGTGACTGTGCGAGAATCAACTCTGCCCAGGCGTCCCTGCCTCGGTTTTTGATTTTGTTGTTTTTGCCCTCTTTGTTGTCTCTAGTCATCCGGCGCCCCGTCTGACAATGATCCTCTCGGTCCCCTTCCTCCTGGCTGGGGTAAGTACTGAGCCGTCTCAACTGCCCACTGCCGCGCTCGCCCGACAGCTCGCTGGGGACAGCCCAGTGGGGACAGCTCAATGGGGACAGCTCGCTGGGGATGCTCCTCCATCACCCAGAGCGGGACCCTGCCCATCTAGCGATGAGGACGGTGCTGTCAGCAGCTCCTTCGCTCCCGTCCCTGGCATTAATGGGAGCAGTGGCGGGGGGGGCCGTGTCCCATGAGCTCTGCTGCGTGTGGGGCTGAGCCTGCCCGCGATTAGCGTGATCTCTGATTCGAAATCCAGCTTTTTTTCCTTTTTTCCCCCTCTTTTCCTGGAGGAGTTCCCAGTCTCTCGCAGCTACTGAATGCAGAAGCGCTTGTGGTTGTTCTTTTGGACGGGGGGGAGAGATGGGGGATCCAACTCCTCGCTCATCCCCAGACCCCTCCTCTGCCGAGCAGGGATCCGTCCCGCGGCTGTGCCCGCTCCCGGGATGCTCTGCCCCGGTCCGGATGGGGCTGGGAGCTGGCAGGAGCGGGGCTGGCTGTCCTCTCCCCATGGCCCAAGCATCACCTGTAGGAATGTTTTGAAAGGTCCCTGTGCCATCCCCAGGGCAGAGGGACCCCCCCACCCGTGGCAGGGGGGTTGCTGGGGAGGGCAGGCTGGGGTGCCCGTGGGTGCAGAGGGGCTGCGCTGTGCCAGGCAGGCAGGGAGGGTGGGAGAAGGGTTAAAACTGGGGGGAGCCTGGAGCAGGACCGAGGGGATCCCGGCTGCTGAGGGGGTCCCCAAGGGCAGGGTCTCGATGGGGACATTGCTGGAGCCTCTGCTGCCATGCTGGGTGGCCCAGCTCCTGCATCAGCGAGGTGAGCCCTGGCCTGGGACGAGGAGGGTCCTGTCCCCAGAGTCAGCTGGGGGAGCTGGCAGGAGGCACAGCTCTGCATGTGCGGGGGTCCCTGGCATGGCTGGGCGGACTGGGGGGAGGCACAGCTCTACGTGTGTGGGGGTCCCTGGCACAGCTGGGCGGGCTGGGGGGAGGCACAGCTCTGCGTGTGCGCCTCTCCGGGACGGGGGTCCCTGGCCTCGATGGAGTCCCCAGGATGGATGCAGTCCCAGTCAACGCATGTGGGGTTCTATCAGAGCCACAGCCCGGGGGCTCCTTCCAGCTGTCGGGGGGCCGTGGTGGCCGGGAGGCGACGGGGGAGCGCGCGTGCGGGGCGTCCCTGCTGGAATGGAGCAGGGCCATGCGCATGGGGAGG